TGAAATATCGTCATAACTAATATTCGGCTGTTTCCATCCTATGTATTCTATGCAAAGTCCGGTTTCATTCTAAAAATCCTCCTAACTTTTTCAGATTTACTAAACTATGAATGCCAGTTTCATCAGAAACAGCCTCCCAGATTCCCTCTATCCACGACTATTCACCTACCATCACAATAGGTCCACATTGGAGGTCATCTCCCTCACCCTACACTCATTCCTGGAACATCTGGATAAGAAGGACACCTACAGAAGACTCCTATTTATTGATTTTAGCTCCACCTCCAAAACCATAACTCCAACGAAACTCATCTCCAGACTCCCAAACCGAGGACTCTGCTCCCGCTTCTGCAACTTGATCCCCGACTTCCTAAACCAGTCCATCACTATACTTCTTATACACTGATGACCATGTGGCCAAATTCAGCTCTAACTCCATTTATAAATAAAAACCAAAAGAACTGCAGATGCTGTAAATCAGGAACAGAAACAAAGTTGTTGGAAAACTCAGCAGGTCTGGCAGCATCTGTGGAGGAGAAAACAGAGTTAACGTTTCGGGTGCGGTGACCCTTCCTCAGAACTGATGGTGGCTGGGAAAACGTCAGTTTATGTGCGGAAAATAGGGAGGTGGGTGGGATAGGAAGTAAACCATAGGATAGAGCCCAAAAATAAATAATTCAACAATGTTAAACACTGTTATTTCCAAATTTCAGTTCTCATGGTTGAGCTCTTTGAAGTCGTGGTTAGGCACGTGCAACAATGCTCTTTTACACTGAACAACAAACTTCTGAATAGAACAATTTAGAAACTGTTTTGACACTGAATTTTCTGCGCCAGTCATCGGTGCAGCGCCAGAACAGGGGGGAAAAATCAAATTGGCACAATCTTTACTTCACCAGTATTTCATTTACCTGGATCATATTTTATGTAACAAACTCATATTTATTTACAAATATTAGATTTAGGCCCATACCAACTCAGGAATTTCACTCTGACTTAATCGTGACATCATGAAAGATATTCCACTTCAACACCACATGACTTGACAAGTAATTGCCTCATTAGGCAGTGAATGTGCGTTTTCAGTTAAATCCTCATTTTCTGCTGGTGACATCAAATGAACGGAAACGATCAGATTGTGAGTGCTTATGTCTAGAACTGTTAAAGTCTCTCAGCGTCCCTCTCTGGTCTGCCGTTGACTCTCTTTCAGATTTTCTGTTTTTCTGTCAGTCTGTCTTTCATGCTAGCTCTTTAACTATAATTAAGCTTTATGCATAAAATAAATTCTATCTTTAAGAATGACTAATTATTGCAAAATGGATCGCAGAACTGCCCCTGCACCGATGTTTCTATAACACAGACATAGATGCACAATCAGTTACAGGAACATTAGCGTAATTGATACGTGACAAGGTTTCTTATGGCAACCTGTTTTGGAAGATCAAATCAGAAGGCATCCACCGTGAGCTGCTACATTGGGTACAAATTTATATTGTTCGTAGAAGACAGATGATAATTGTGGAGTGGTGTTTTTCAAACTGGGGTTGTGTGACTTCTGTTTTTCTACAAGGATTAGGTTAGGCAGTCTCATTAGTAAATTTGCCAACAGCACGAAAATTGTTCGAGTTGTGAATAGTGAGGAATATCATTAAAGGACAGAACATGATGTAGATCAGTTAGAAATTTGGACAGAGAAATAGCACGTAGTGTTTAACCCAGACGAGTGTTAATGATGAATTTTGCGGAATCAAATTCAACAAGAAAGTACATAGTAAATGCCAGAACCCTTAATAGCATTGATGTAATTCCATAGCTCACTCGTGATGCATGGAAATCCGCCAAATTAGATTCCTGATCGCTGAATGACAGGGAGGTGGATTTGATGATTGAGTGGTGCGTATTCCAACTGGATCTCCGTGTCCAGTGAGGTCCTGAATGGATAGTGTTAGGCCCGTTGTGATTTTTAAGCTTGTGGTTTTTAAAGTGTATTTAGATTTGAGTATTAGCATTTTTGTTTCTCTACATTATTATGGTTTCTCTTTTCCCATTATAATCTTGTTAATTTAGTCATCAGCATTTTCATATTCTATCACTGTCAGCTTTTGCTTTTTCTGACTGGAATACAGATGGTACCGTTGTATAGTGACATGGGAGAGAAGAGAAAAGAAACAATGGAGTGATGAAAGCTGCTGAAGACACCTTGAAAAGAGAATAAATGGTGGTCTCACCATAGTGCACTCAGCGATATTCACAAAATATACTTTGAAAGCAGACATATGTGAGGAAATCCGAGAAGTGGAGATTGAATAGATTGGAGTGTTGGTATAAAAAAGTGACATAGCAAAACGATATCTGTAATACGATGTCCGCAGCCAACATGACGTGAGAAAAACAGTTGAGTTACCCATGTTGTGTCAGCCCTGACGAAAGAGAAAATCGAAGCATGAATATACAAATTTCACAGTCCATTCTCATTTCATCAGGAAAATGTACATGTTCTCATCACTATTAACCAGTTCAAGATTCTGGATGAAATAACTTTGCGTACGTAAGTGTTTGACGACACGTGTTGCTTGCACAATGTTAGCAGAGGCAATCTCAAGAAAGGGATATTAGCCACTATAGTACTGTCCTGAGTACTGTAGTGGTTAGTATCCCTGCCTATCATGCGGGAGACCGCGGTTCAATTCCCCGCTGGGGAAGATACTAGTATCTCTTGTAGGGCGGCATGGTGGCTCATTGGTTAGCTTTGCTACATCATAGCACCAGAGACCCGCGTTCGATTCCCACCTCCGGTGACTGTCTGTGTGGAGCTTGCATGCTCTCCCCGTGTTTGTGCAGGTTTCCTCCCACAGTCCAAAGATGTGCAGGGTATGTGTGTTGGCCATGCTAAAATTGCCGATTGCTTTCAGGGATCTGTAGGTTATGGGGATGGGTCTGGGTGGGATTCTCTGAGGTTTGGTGTGGACTTGTTGGGCTTAGCTCATGTTAGAATGCAGTGTGAACGTTGTTGACATGCGAATGAGAATCTCACTGATCTGGCATTCTTTTGTCAGGAACATGAATTATTCCATTGATCATTTGCAACATTGAAAATTAAAACAAAAGCTCACCAGGCTTTACGAGCAATCAAGTTGTCAAATTTCATTCCCCGTAGAACTGTTTATAACTGGAGATAATGTCACCTCTCCATTAAACTTCACGTCCATTGATCATTGAAAAATAGAAACATAAACACAGATTGTCCCAGAGGTAGACAATAGAATTAATTTTGTCTCATAGATCAATTGTAAACAATTAGCTTCGCCCCACCAAGTCACATGTATAGTCACTGATAAATATAAATATAAACATAAACATCAAAATTCGCAGATAAGACGAAAATGAGTGGGAGAGCAAAGTGTGCAGAAGACATTGAAAGTCTGTAGAGGGATACAGATAGATAAAATGGCTGGGAAAGGATCTGGCAGATAGAATGCAACGTTTGAAATTGTGAGGTCATTCATTTTGGTAGGAATAGCAGTAAACTGGACTTTTATTTAAAAGGTGATAAATTACAGCAGGCTGCCATGCAAAAGGACAGGAGTGCCCTTGTGAATGAATCACAAAATGTTGGGTTACAGATGCAGCAGGTAATTAAGAAGGCAGTTTATTATAAATACAAGAATATATATGACTGTATTCTGCTCTCCCTGAAGACTTGGAAATTGAAGTATGAAGTTGAATCTATTCCTTTTGCAAATCAAAAATTCAACTGCTTGAAACTTCGATTCTTGCTTGTGCATTACAATCTAAATCTCACCTCATCAATCAAACTCAATTACAATTCATTCTTCTGTCCTTTTTTTTAAAATAGGTCTGGATCAATGATGGTATATTTCCGCTACCATATGTAATCTCTTTGAATAGACTATGAACTTACTGGAAGGCAGAAATGACTTGAAAAACCAATTGAACTATTTGAACAATTGAACTGCTCCTATTTCATGTTTTTGTGTGCCACAATTGGAGTCAACAGATAATAAATCAAATTGTGTAACTGCTCTCTAAATTTACTCTGAGTCACTGCATAAATAAAAGTGTTTGTGCAGCAGCTTAAAAGCTGAAGCATATTTGCACATTCTCGCAGAATAAAGAGGGGATCACTGAAACCACTGATCGTATAATTTTTCATAAATCTGTCAACAAAGAACTGAGCAACATATACCACCCATAGAATGTCGAAACTGCCAGAAATAGAGAAAAGTAAAATAATAGACTTTCTTCTATTCTCCATTTCTGGATCATTTTGATTGTCTTTACTTCTCCATATTTGAAAAGTCTTGCATGCTTTGTTGGCTGCCATAATGTTTCTGACCGTCAGTGTATTGAGGAAAAGGATTAAAAAGAAAGGTAGGCAAGGGGTAAGAATTCGGTCAGTCCATTGAAATGCTCCCCACATTGATGAAGTGTAACGAATTTGCTTCAGTCTACAATACCACGGGATATCGTCGATTATGTAGACGGGCTCATGCAAGAAGTACCATGGGATATTCTTTAAACAGCCAAGAACACTCACTGTTCCTATGATCGCTGAAGCCATTTTCTCAGTACAATATTTTAATTTCAGCTTTTGACAGGAAATGGCCACAAATCGATCGAAAGTGAACACAACTGTTAACCAGACAGAGATATCCCTGGCTGCATAAATTAACATAATGCTGAGACTACACAAAGGAGTCACAGAGAGGAAACTACTTGGAAAATAAATTGCAGGAATCCGGTTTAAGAGTATAGCATTTATAATAACCAGGAGATCTGCCACTGCCATTGAGACCAGGTACTGAGTAATGCACTTGGATAGTCCACATCTTCCTCGGGGTAGGATAACAATTGCCAACAAATTAACTGTATAATGAAAGTGAGAAAGGTTAACAATTATCTACCCATGGAACTAATGTATGAATTTGAGGAGTGAATAAGCTGATTAATAAATGCTGACAGTGTTTTTTTCACTCATCTTAAATTTTATGTTTTTTTTTCGTTTGAAATATGCTGGATGACACCACCATTGTCAATATTTTCAATTTTATTTATAATGTATTCGCTGGTCTGTTTCTTTCATTACGCAAAATGATATAAACTATACAGTATAGAGCAACTTGCCTGCTCTCAATATAAACATTAATACTTTGTTAAACATCTAATTAAGATTTCATCTTAATGCCTTTTATAAAAACATGGATTTCATGTCATGCAAAATTCTGTCAATTCTTCAAGCTAATTTTAAGCTGAAGGCCCTGAATGAGGCGTTGAAATGGTCATTCCTGCACTGACAGTTAGATAATGACTAATATAATATCAACAAAATGTGTCACTTTAACAAGAATACCCAGTAAGAGAATTTCTATGACCATTTGCTGACCTTTTGGTCGTCATTCCAAACCTGACGTTCCTGATGCTTGACTGAAATAGAATCAGATATCACTGAAAAAAATATCTGGCTCGCCATGACTAATATACAGCTACTCAGCCACATTAGATATTTTGAAACGACCATCTCTGCAATTGGAATTGTGGCCATTACAAAGTGCAGACTGATTTGAAGATAGGACGGGCACCCTTGGTGAACAAAATTTGCAGTATAAAAAGCGGGAGAAACTTACTTTTGGAATATGAACCATGTTTATATCATATCAGTGAAATAACATCAGAAACACAGCATATGCTTACTCCCCCCGTAACCCACGAGCACCTCATTAAGTTTGAAATGCAGTGTGTCTGCAAATGAGCTATAATCCCGGTTTCTCATTTCCGTGCTCACAAAGTCTGGTACTTTTTGAACAAACAGGGTGGTTCGGAACCACTGGTGTCCATGTTAAGGGTCATTGATGAATTGTGGATTTATCATTGTGGATTGTGGATTTATTTCGCAGACTGTTTCCGTGTCATAACAATGTGAATTACGTGTCTCCTTTTCTAGTCCTTGCCTTGGAATTTTGAGATGGTCATCAAATTGCATTCCCTTTCACAAATTCTAATCACCTGACTTCCGACCATCTAAGTGTTTGAACGAATAGAGCAGATACACCGGGTATTCTCAATCCGAAATCTTAAATGTGCTGTTATTCACTGCCTGTTCAAGCAAGTTTTTAAACATCAGCCACTCAATCTCTTTTGATTTGTCGATGGATTCAAATAAATGGTTTTGTCTATATATTTTATTTCCACCTTCACTCCTCGGTTCCATATACTGCAGTAATATTACAACAAATAGTGTATACTGTCAATTCTAAATAAACTCATTGCAAGTTCCACATCTTCCCAATGTTCTGTGTAAAGCAGCTTTAAAACTGACATCGGAACTAGCCGCCTCCTTTTAGGTGTAGGGCTGCTTCCCCTCTTCATATCTAAGTTGCCACAGAGATGGTGAAAGAAGCATAGAAAATAGATGCAGGAGTAGGCCATGCGGCCCTTCGAGCCTGCACCATCATTGAATATCATCATGGCTGATCATGCAAACTCAGCATCCCATTCTTGCTTTCTCTCGATACCCCTTGATCCCTTTAGCTGCAAGGGCAACGTCCAGCTCCCACTTGAATATATCTAATGAAATGGCCCAAAACCTTACTGTCAGAGAGAATTCTACTGGTTAATAATGCTGAGTGAAGAAATTATCCTACATCCCAGTCCTGAGTGGTTTACCCCTTATTCTTAGACTGTTACCCCGAGTTCTGGATATCCCCAATGTCGGGAACAATCTTCGTGCATCGAGCCTGTCAGTCCTAACGGGATTTTATGTTTCTATGAGACCCTCCATTATTCTTCTAAATTTCAGCCAGTACACGCCCAGTCGATTCAATCTTTTCTCATGTGTCAGTCCTGCCATCTCGGGAATCAGTCTGGTGAGCCTTTTTTCGACTTCCCCAAACTAAAGAATATTCCTTCTCAGACTAGGAGTCCAAAACTGCGCACAATGCTCAACATGCGGCCTCGCCAAGGCCCTGCACAACTGCATAAAGGCATCCTTACTCCGATACTCAAACACATTCTCTTTGAAGGGCATCATGCCATTAGCTTTCCTCACCATCTGCTGCATCTGCATGCCAATCTTCAGCGATTATTCCACCATGGCATGCGGGTCTCGTTACATCTCGCCTTTTCCTGAACAGCCACCATTCAGATCATTATCTGCATTCCTGCTTTTGTGACCAAAGTTGATAACCTCACATTTATTCAAATTAAATTGCATTTGCCAAGTATTTGCTGTCTCTGCCAATCGCTCCAAATCACTTTGCACCCTGTTGGCATCCTCGTCACAGCACACACTGCCACCCAACTTCATGTCATCTGCGAATTTGGAGATATTGCATTCAACTCCATCGTCCAATTCGTTAATGTATATGGTGAACATCTGGGGTTCCAACACTCATCAGTGCCTGCCACTCTGAGAAGGACCAGTTTAGTACAACTCTCTGCTTCCTGTGTGCTAACCATTTCTTTGTTCATGTCAATACGTTGCCTCTGATACAACGAATTTTAATTCTCCTCACTAATCTCCTGTGTGGAACTTTGCCAAAGCCTTTTGAAAGTCCAGGTACAACGATTCGCCCTTGTCCATTCTACTGGTAACATCCTCAAAAAATTCCAAAACATTTGTCAATCATGACCTCCTTTTGGTGAATCCATGCTGACTGACATCAATTCTGCCACCGCTTTCCAAATTATCAGTCATTACATCCTTAATATTTAACACCAGCATTTTCCCCACCACTGATGTCAGGGGAACTGGCAAATAATTCCCCACTTTCTCTCTTTCTCATTTTTTTAAAGACTAGGATTACAATATCTACCCTACAGTCTATTGTCCACAGTCGACAGAATGCTGGAAAATTATCTCAAGTGCGTCTGATATTTCTAGGATCACATCCGTAAATAATCTGGGAGACAGATCATCAGGCCCCAGGGACATATCGAGTTTTAATCCTATCCGTTTCACCAAAACCCGAAGGTTATTTCTGTTCTCCTTGGTGAAGTCAGATTCAATATATTTGTTCAAGTTGTCTGCCATTTATCGGTTTTCTATTATGAATTGTCCCGATTCCAGTTGTATTTTTCTTCACCGGCCCTTTTTTTTTCTATTCAGTTATCTAAAGAAGCTTTTGCAGTCAGTTTTTTTCTGTCTTCCACAAGCTTACTTCCATATTCTATTTTCCCATTCCAAATTAACTCTCTGCTATCCTCTCCTGAATATTGAATTTCTCCCAGTCCTCAGGATTTCTGTGTTTTTTTTTTTCTGGCCAAGTTTTATGTGTCCTGTTTGGCTTTAACACTGTCCCTGATTTCCGGTGTTAACCATGGTTGAGCCACCTTCCCTGTTTTACTCTTATGCCAGATAGGGATTTACAAGTTTTGAAATCCCTCCATGTGTTCTGTAAATGTCTGCTATTGTATTTCCACCATTAACCTCTTAAGTATCTTTGGTCAGCTTATCCTAGACAATGCATGCCTTACGCCATCAAACAGGTTTCTTTAAGGTCAGGACCCTAGTTTCAGGTTTAATTTTTTCACTCTCCATGTTACTGAATAATTCTGCCAAATTATGGTCCCGTCCCCAAAGGATCTGGCAGCAATTTTTTTTTTCTAATTAATTCTCTCTTGTTACATGATACCGAGTCTACAATGGCTTGCTCTCCATTCAGTTCCTCGACATATTGGTCGAGGAAGCATCCCTCATACATTCCAGGAGATCTTCCTCTATAGCAATGCTACCAGTTTGGTTAGTCCAATTAGTACGTCGATTGTCCAGATATTTAATTATAACTTCTTTCAGGTAGGGATTTTCTCATCGAAAAATGTTGAGCAAACGAAGTTGTACCTTTCTCAAATAATTTCGCACAGTCAGGCTTTGGAGCGAGCCTTTTACTATAATGAGTAGTAACTGAGCCAGCCTATTCTCATGCAAGACTAGAAAAGAAATTGTAGTCTTTATTGTTAAACGTTTACTGGCACAGGTTCTCAGTCTAGCTGACATCTTATGCAAACTGAAGAGTTGGAGTTCAGGGTATTTTGATAAAGACTAGTTCAGCAGTCACTGATACAGTCGCTTTAGTATCAACCTCCATTAGAACCAGTGACCATTTAACCACATAACTACTTTGTTTGGTTCTGACTTGGTTGTTACTAAGCAATTGAACTGTTCCAAACTCGATGTAGTTAAGCTTTCCAGGGAATGCACTCTCTTGGATATTAGCCAATGAGTACTCTCACTCAAGTCAGGCCGAGTGGAACTCTTTTGTTCTCTCGAGTCTGCATACCAGCAGAAAATACAATAGCTTGCTGGCCAGGATCTTTTAAAAAAATGTTAACCATGCAGCTGAGGCTTGGTTTTGTTTTGCGGTTTTACTGTGTTGTAACCTGGAGTTTATGTGTTCAGGGCAAGTCCAGAATGAGGCTATGTAATTGCCCTCATTCAAGTTGTGCCCCCCTACCCCCTCCAAGTTCAGTCGGCCTGGTGAGAATGTCCACTTCCATCAGTCATGCACTGTCACTCATATGCTCTACTTGCTACATTTTCTGTTGACAAAGCCAGTTATAGTGCTCATCCCTCAAACATTCCAGGAGATCTTCCTCCATCACATTGTTACCAGTTTGGTTAATCCAATTAATATGTCGATTGAAGTCACCCATAGTACCTTCTGTACCCTTACTGCACGCATCTCTAATTTCCTGTTTGATACAATCCCCATATTCACAACCACTGCTTGGTGGTCTGTACACAACTACCAACAACTTCTTTTCCTCCTTGGTGTTCCGCAGCTCCACGCATAC